CTGCATCATGGCTGATACTTGAAGATCAGTTGTCTTAGAGGCATATAGCTAAACTGATGTCACACAATGAGAGTGCCTATGTGTTCCCCAATCCAAGATAGCTGGCTTTGCATTGAACAGAAGATGAATCAGATTATCTAGATGTGATCCAGGCTTTGTAATTTTGCAGAGAAACGTGGTCAACTCTACAGGTAATTAAATTATATATGAAGGCTTTTCACTGACGGACAGAAAATGATGTTTAAAAGGATGAAAAAAATATTATGCAAATATAAAATTCTGAATATATATATACACACACACACACACACACACACACACACACACACACACACACACACACACACACAGTAAACTCCCCATTATCAGGCATCCACGAGGATTGGTAGATTCCGGATACATTTTGTTTCTGGTTGCTTCCGAGTTATTATTAAAAATAGGTCTAACTAGTGCCATACCCCATACTATTCCATATCATAACATAAATTCTGTATTGACTTCATATTAATATTGAAGTGCAGTAATCAAAAAAAATTAAGACAAATAGACACAATCATTTCCAGGATAATATATGCCGCAGATCAGAAAAGCGGTGAGTACACAGGATTTTTTTTTTTCTGGTTATTTGAATATCGGATAACAGAAAGTTTACTGTATTGATATTTTCTGCCAGCGAGAGGCACTTGAGGCTTCTTTGCACTTGTTTTCTACACTAGTTTTTTATTTTTATTTTTGGAAAAAAACTTGTAAACAAATTTCTGAGATGAGAAAGAGTGACACCTTTTAACTCGATGTATTCAAGCAATGCATACACCTCTGCCACACCCCCAGTTATGCAGACCATTCAAAATTGATATGCCAAAAATAATTGGTGAAATCCAGAATTGTTTTTTTCCCACCATTTAAGTGACACGCTCACGAGATAAATCTTAAAAAATGCATTCAAGTATCCCAAATCTTGAAGTTGGCTACTTTTGTTCCCCATGGTCCCTGTGTGTGTTGTAAAGTAGCCACAGATCCAAGCTACAATCTCATGTTTAGTTTACTAATTTGCATTGAGACTGTAGTCCATTACAGGAGTGAGCAGTGTCAGCACAAATTCAGACATGATTTGAAGCTACCTGAATGCTTTTTTAAGAATAAACTTCTGAGTCTAGTGTCACAAACAAGATAATTAAGAGATAAGATGAAGGTTTTAGTGCATAACAACACTTTTTATAAATAGAACATATTCATGGATATCTGTACATCAGAATAAAAAAAAAGGGACAACTGACGAGGAAAGAGGGACAGAGGGATTTGGTTCCAAAAAAATAATGTATTTATTTATATATAAACAAGGACAGTCCACTGTAATCCAGGTAAGTCGAGTAAAACACAGTTTATTAAAAGGGCAAACACAAATATATAATTCCATCCACAGGGTAGACCTCCCCTGTGCACAAGACAGTTTCTAGCCGCAACATAAATGACAGTCTTTTAGCTTCTCACAGCTCCAGGACACTCATACTGCTCACCCCTCGTGAGCCCTCAATCTGCTCTCTTAGCAGTCTGTACCACAGGCCCTAGGGTCACCGACCTTCCTGACCTCTCCAAGCCACCCCTGGCTGTTCCTTGTGCGTCCAGCACACACCTGAGTTTGCCTGTGTCCGTGTGCTTCCCTGCACACACACAACGCCAACCCAACTCTCTGAACTCTGGTCCAGACTCCTAATACGGCTGCTCTCAGCCACCTGATCCAGCTATACTGGTCATTGGTAACACCTGGCCCCAGGACTGGAGATCTCATCCCAGCCAGAGCTCTAAGGCCTGGTTCACACCAAGCGCGGAGCAGGTGCAGAGCAGTTGCAGACCGGATCAAAACTGCATCCAATATATTCCAATGGTATTTTTTGCTCCAGTTCACATAGCAGCGTGCAGTTCCAGATCAGGTGAAAAAAACTGCAGCAAGCCCTATTTTACCTGCTCTGGAACGCATCAAAATCGCATGCAAATGCCTGGAATTTCTTTTACCAAAAACGGCCCAAAACGCGGCACAACCCACTGCACTGCGTGTGCAGAAACCTGAGCGGATCTGCTCTGCATTTGGTGTGAACAAGGCAGGGGATGAGCGGTTCCAGAAAAACAAATTCCTCTGCTGGTAAAAGGACTTGCTTTGTGGTTCTCTCCAGGTTTTCTGGATTTGGCATGGGATCCTGGAACTGGGAGACTTCAAAGAGAATTGGGAGGGACGAAATCTTCATTCCTTGGTTTATGGTTTGGTAGGGGCCAGCACCTAATGATTGCACACCTGGGCACCGGATGCTGGCTAATGCACTGGGCTCCAGCTGGGAAGAGGAACAGAGGTCTTCATGAGTCAGGAGTACTCCACCCAGAAGTCAGAGGGGAGCCAGGTGGCTGTGTGTGCTGGAGGCTCATGGAAGACAGCCAAGGAGGCTTAGAGAGCCAGTGACACACGAGGGATGTGTGGAGGAGTCACACGAGGGATGTGTGCAGGAGTCACACGTGAGGTGTGGAAATCTGCTAAAGGGTAAAGCGTACTTCTGAGGAGTCTTGCTTTTAAGACTGTCCTTTCTATGTCAAAACGGCTTCAAGACTGGTCCTTAAGCGCTCACCATTTGTGCTAACTTCCCCAAACATCACAATACAGGTGAAACTCGAATAATTAGAATATCGTGCAAAAGTAATTGCAGTAAGTGCTGCAAAAGGGGCCCAAACCAAGTACTGAGTACATATGCATGCTTGTACTTTTCAGAGGTCTGATATTGTTCTATGTACAATCCTTGTTTTATTGATTGCATGTAATAATCTACTTTTTTGAGGTTGTGGATTTGGGGTTCTTGGGGTTTTCATGAGCTGTAAGCCATAATCATCACAATTATGACAAATCACGGCTTGAATTATCTTGCTTTGCATGTAATGAGTCTATCTCATATATTAGTTTCACCTTTTAAGTTGCATTAGTGAAATAAATGAACTTTGCACAATATTCTAATTATTAGAGTTTCACCTGTATATAGAAAAATCTTTATTCAAAATACAAACATGTACAGTTCATACAACGGTTTCGAACCCCCTGGATCATTCCTCAGATAAGACAAGAATGCATTCACGTGGTGCTGCAGAAAATCGTTTCATTGGATTTTCTACATATGGGGTAGTAGGGTAGTTCTACATTGCTGCCACCTACAGTATGAGGCACAATTGAGGAATGCTCCCTCCTCTGTTAATGACAAAATCAAAAGACAGTGTCAACTCAGATTGAATGGTGCCACCACTTTTAGATCTTTCTAGTGCTCATTCCCTAGCTTCACTGCTTACTAAGTCACTGATCTTTAGCTCACATAGAAAGGCAAGGTTTCAGGCTTGCCCAGCTACATACTTGTCCTGAGCTGGGGATTCTTGTTTAACACAAGATCTAAAGAATCACCCATATATCTGACCACGCAGGTTCCCTTGCAGTAATTACAGAGGCCCTTTCTGAATGCAGATTCAAATGGCCAACACTGTTCTAGTGATGAACATAACCCCTGTGTATTTGCACAACTTTCTGGTAGGACAGAAAGAAGATTCACAAAGGTGAAAGGCTTGGTTTGTATTGAAACTATTGTACATTTTATTCTGCAGCCCCCCCCCCCTTCCCCCCAGGACTGCATTGCTGAACAATCCCATCCCAGATACAAAGATGTAGCAAGAAAATTGCTGATGCATCTGTTATTTACTGCAAAGTGGCCCAGCTGGTTAAAATAATGATGTCATAGGATTAGCCCTCCCAAAAATAGAAGACATGATAAATGAGAAGGTGTCTGGTGTTACACAGGAGAGTGTAGCAGAACCAGCCAGTATGGAGAATATAGTTTATAATAAACAGATTATCAAATATATACAAAACATAAGCACTAAGAATTACCCTTTACTAAATAACACAGAAACTGAAGTTTGCAGAAAGGGCAATGCAATATATTAATGTCACCATTAATATTCAACATTATATTAGCATATAAACCAATTATCATCCCATTTCACTTATTGCCAGCCACGTGCAGCAAACACTTAACACATAATGATACAACAAAGACCAAAATGGCTGTACTACTGTAAAGAGAATGCGCAGCATTTTGTAATTTGTATTACAGCTGATCTTGGATATACTGAAATGATCCTAGTTCATGCAGAGGTTTTAGAAACCTTGCTTCACATGGGGCTGCCATATTTGCTTATTACATGCATTGGGGTTGATTTACTGAAGCCAAAAAAGCTGCTCATTGTGCAAGGGATTTGTTTCCTTAGCTTAGTGAATAAGGTGAATCTCTTCCAACTTTTATCTTCCCATCATGTGCAGGGAAAAATATTGTCTTGTAATTGGAATGGGGAAACATTCAACCTCCAAGGCTGTATACTTTTGTTGTCAAAAATTACCTTAATATTGAGAAATAACTATTTGTAAGATCAACAAAAACTATTTGTACAATCTGAACCAATAAACAGGCATTAACAGCCTCTTCATGCCCATCATACTGGCTGGAGGTGTCGGGCTTCTCTACATCCATCGTAACCAGAAGACAATGTAAAAATGGTGAAAAACTTGCTACCTCATCAAGAAATAGGATTTTTGGGATATATTAACAGTTCTTAAAATTAGATTCAAAATGTAGCAGCTGGTGATATCTGTCTTATGGGCACTTGATGTTTTTAGGAATCTGTGGGACTGTGTCAAGTATTGTGATCCAATATGTGTCTGGGTTTGATATTCTGCTAATTTTGCCATCAGCAGTTAACATTATTTGGTTATGTTACCAGTGTCTGTATTCATGATTTCAATAAGGGCTAGTGGGTCAGAGGGTCGTGGTTAATATAATGTAAACCAGGTATAGGTCTCCTGTACGCAAAACCAATGTAGCACCCTCATCAGCCAGCTTGGTATTTTAGTCTTGTCGCTTTTCAGTAAATCAAATCAAATTAAAGCTGAAGTGATTATTCCTTGCTCCTGCAGACTTCCTTCCCTGCGCAAGACCAGTCCCACAAAACTGTTCCTTTTCCTCACTCAACCGGTCTCAGACTGTCTTGACATCATCAAGCAAGCGAGTATGACGAGAGCCTGAACACATCCCAGGAGCGTTGGAGAGTGGAGAAGACCACTGGCTGCCAGGGAAACAAGGAATTAGGCAAGTGCTTGTGCTCATTCTGTTACCCCCTAGACTAAACAAGCATTTAACCCTTACAGTTTGGGGGCTGGGGGGGGGGGGGAACTCATGGTTAGCATTTAAAACTGAAGGAGTTTAGCTTTAAAGAACTCCTGGAATTTAAAAAAAAATAACCCTTGCAGTGGGGCAAGGGTTAAGTGCTGGTTTGTGTTTAGGTGAAAGAAATAAAAAATTAGACTCACCCGAAGCTCTGAGCCGGCTTCTTCTAAAGGTGCCCATACACCTTACAATTTATCTGCAGATTTTCTGTGGTCAGATGGAAAAAGTGCAAGAGATTGGCCCAGGTGGAGATTACTCCATCCACACAGTTAAGTGTAGATGGAGGAATCTGTTGCACCTTTTCCATCTGACCACAGAAAATCTGCAGATAAATTGTAAGGTGTATGGCCAGCTTTAGACCAGTCCTTCCAACGTCTCTGCCCCTCCTCTGCAGCAGTAGCACATGTATACACTGTGTATAGACATGAGGACGCTAGAGAAGATTCCAATGCTGCAGGGAGGGGGTAGACGGACTGGAGGGAGCACTGTGACAGCTGGCAAGCTCGGGAACTTTGGTTGAGTATCATTTTTGTTGTTTTAGACACAAACAAGCACTTAACCCTTCAAGTGTGGGGTAGCCACACTGCAAGGGTTAATAAAAAAAAAAAATATTTCCTGGAGTTCTTATTTAAACTCTGTACTGTGGTTGCAACTCTTTGTATAAAGACAATAAAAGCCAGATAAAAACTTGGAACAAGGTCACTTTTTAATCAATTAACTTTAATATTCACAAGCCTAAGTCCTGACAATGCATATGAGTTTACTGCCCAGTGTGGTAACCGCAATAATTAGTTGTCACCACTGTTACAATAACCACATTGCTGGAACAGGATGAAATGGAAACCTGTAGAGTAGACCTTTGTTTCTCAACTTTTTTCAGTCACGGCACCCTTTAAAATTATGCAAAATCTCAAGGCTCCCGAGGAAAACAAATGTAGAGATTGGCGTGTCGTTTCTCATAAAATCTATAATGGGCCCTTATCCTAGATAGGGGTCTGGTACGGATCTAAAAGTTGGATCCCACATTAAAAAAACGTGGAATTCCCTTCCTTTGCACCAGAGTCCCTTCCTTTGCACCAGAGTCCCTTCCTTTGCACCTGGAGCCCCCCTTTACATCAGCAGCCCCCCATAACTGGATGACCCGTTGAGGCTAAGTACACTGTGCGTGTAGTGTGACACTCACCGTCAGGTGCAATGAGAGCTCAGCTGGCCAGGCTGCCACTCGTCGGCTGAACGGGAGCAAAAGCGCCGCTATACACCGTTCTGACAGTGGGTCAGTGGTCGCTATGGAAGGGGTTGAGGAGGAAGCCTCAGGCTGAAGGACCTTGCGGTCCGTGGAGTGGTCGGTTTGGATACGCGTTTCTAGGCTCTGTACCTCTTTGTCAAACCAGAAGTAGTTCAGAAATAGTTCCTGAAGCCGGCGGGAAATGCAGCGGTTTAAAAAAAATGACAGGTAGGCTTGGTTTTACGATCGTCAGCGGCTGTCATTGGTCAGGCTTGGAAGCCGTTGTGTAAAAAGCATCTTTAGGTGTGTGTGTGTGTGTGCGTGTGCGGTTGTAACTGTTTGTTTATAAACAAGTGTTACTTAGAATAGAATAGTATCATCTAATCATTAATAAAAAGTTTTAAAAGAGTGGATCATTCCTTGTGGCAAATGAATGACTGGATCTTTTCTTTCAGTAAAATGTATGTTTAAAAGAAGGATAAGTTACAAATATGTTTAAAAACGAATGAGCGTAAGGTAGAAAGGATTTATTTTGAAACAATTCGTTACATGCACTATCATGGTCCTTTTACCTTTCAGTTGTAGCCATTATAATTGTTTTGTTTAGGAAGTAGATAGTGCGTTTGGAGAAACAAATCCTATGTATATATGGGACCCAGGGTCTGATTAGTTATTTTTTGTTATTTTTTATTTTTGTTTTTAGAGGATGGTTTGTATTTCAAGATCTTCATTAAGTCCAGTTGGTACTAAGGTGTTCAGTTTGTATATCCAAAATGTCTCTCTGTTGCATAAGAGTCGAAAACGCACGGAGGGTGTTAGGTGAGTGGGTATGTGTTCTATAGCAAACACATGCAAGGCGTGAATGTTTGTGGTGTTTGGCTGTAAAATGCCCTGGGACGCTATGTTCTGTATCTCCTTTTTGTATAAAGTGTCTGTGTTCTCCAATGCGTTTGCGTAAAAGACGTATGGTCCGTCCGACATACATCAAACCGCAGGGGCAAGTTAGTCCATATACCACATGGTCGTGTGTACATGTGATAAATTGTCTTGTGTTATAGACATTGTTGCTGTGGTCTCTGAATGTTACTTGGCCATGATGAATAAATTGGCAGGTGAGGCACTTCGTTTTTTTGCACCGAAATGTCCAAACTCTGTTGTCAAACAAGAAGTTTTTTGTGTTCGTTTTGGATTCTTTAAGTAATTTGCTTGGTGCAATTATGTTTTTGATATTTTTTGTTTTTCTTGAAATTTATGAACGGTCTAGTTGGCAAGAGAGGTCCTAATTTTGGATCCGTTAGTAGGATGTGCCAATTTTTACAAAGTACTTTTTCGATGGCCTTGTAACTATTGTTGTATGTGGTGATGAACCTCACTTGGTTGTTGTTAGCTGAAGCTTGGTTATGATCGACAGTTTTAGGTGTAACTGTTTGCAGGTAGGTTGAGCATGCGTTTATAATTAATTCATCAGGGTATTCTTTGTCTTTACATTTTTTGGTGAGAAGTAGACTGGACGCAGTATAGTCTGATTAGTCGGTGCAATTTCTGCTCAGTCGACAAAACTGACTTTTGGGGATGTTGTTTTTCCACCGGGGGTGATGGCAACTGTGATAGTGCAGGTATGAATTTCCCCCTGTGGGTTTTGTATGGTTTTTGGTAATGATCTGATTGTTTTTGGTGGTGAGTTCGAGGTCTAAAAAAACCAATTCGTTCGTGCTGATGACATGGGTGAAGGACAGACCTAATTCGTTGTTGTTGCAATGTTGAACGAATTCTAACACGTTTTCTGGTGCACCGTCCCAGATGATGACTATGTCATCTATATATCGCCCATAGAAGACTAGATGTTTGGCATATGGGTTGTTTTTCCATATGTGGTGGTCTTCCCAATAACCCATAGTGAGATTGGCGTAACTGGGTGCATAGTTAGTGCCCATGGCTGTCCCGTTAGTTTGTAAGTAGAATTTGTCCAGAAATGAGAAATAGTTGTGATTCAATGTAAATTTGGTGCATTCCATGATAAATTGTGCTTGAGTGTCGTTGGAGGATTTAGAGAGATAAAACAAAAGGGCCTCTAGACCTACTGCATGTGGAATAGATGTATATAGGGAGCAGACATCCAGAGACAACCAACAATAAGTGTCATACCATTGGTATGTGGATAGGGTTTTAATGAGGTGACCGGAATCTTTGATGTAGGACGGTAGGGCTGTAACCATGGGCTGAAGGAATTGATCTATATAGATTGAGTCTGCTGGTAAGGCTGTTGGTGCTGGCTATTATTGGACGGCCTGGCGGATTTACACTGTCCTTATGGATTTTTGGTAGATGGTAGAAATAAGGGGTGCTGGGGTATTTTGGGTTTAAGAAGGATTTTTCTTTTTTTGAAATGACGCCGATCATGAATGCTGGTTCAATGATGGCTTCAAGTTCTTTGGTGAAGGGAGTAAGTGGGTCTTGTGAAAGAGGTTTGTAGGTGTGTGAATCTGAGAGTAACCTTAATGCTTCTTTGATATAGTCGGATCTGTTTTGGATGACTGTTCCGCCTCCCTTATCGGCTTGTTTGATCACGATATCTTATTTTTACCAAATTCTTTCAGGGCTTTTTGTTCATTCTGGGAAAGGTTGGGATGTTTTTTAGATTTGGAACATACCTTTAAGAGATCTGAGTATACTACGTGGTAAAAAGTGTCGACAAATGGGCCTTTTGAATGTACGGGATAGAAATTGGATTTAGGTCTGAGAAAGGTGTGAATAATTTCAGGATTAGCAATGGACTCAATATTATAGTCATGATCGGGGCAAGTGTCTGCCAATTCATGTAATATGTTTAGAATGTCTCCATCGAGGTTCTCAACTATGTTGAGTGCAGTCTCATCAAGTGAATCGGCAGCGTTACTGGTAGTGATGGTGTTAAGAGCTGTCGAGTAATGGCGTTGTAGAGTGAGGGAGCGAATAAATTTATTCAGGTCTTTAAATAATGTAAATGGGTTGGGTTTCGTGTCTGGTGCAAAATGTAGACCTTTTTGGAGTAAAGACAATTCATATGGGGTTAGAATATGGTCAGAAAGATTAAATATTTTGATGGTGGAGGGTTCTACAGTAGGATTATTTCTGTTTTTGCTATTTTTGCTAAATTTTCCTCCTCAGGCTCCTCTTCGCGTGCTTTTCTTTTTATTTTGGGAGGGTGTATGGGTCCCAAGTCTAAAAAATAAGTAATATTGCCAGTGCTGGAGGTAATGGTGTTGAGGGGGGCTGGTAATTCTGGAGTAGTTTCTATTAAGGAGTTGGGTGAATGTGTTTGTGGAGGTTCTGAAGAAGTTGTTTTTTGGTTAGGATTCCTGGGAGAATAAACAAACAGTTACAACCGCACACACACACCTAAAGATGCTTTTTACACAACGGCTTCCAAGCCGTTCATCAGCAGCCTTGAACAACCCTCCAGGCAAGACTGACCAATGACAGCCGCTGACTATCGTAAACCACGCCTACCTGTAATTTTTTTTAAACCGCTGCATTTCCCGCCGGCTTCAGGGAACTATTTCTGAACTACTTCTGGTTTGACAAAGAGGTACAGAGCCTCGAAATGCGTAGCCAAACCGACCACTCCACAGCCTGCAAGGTCCTTCAGCCTGAGGCTTGCTCCTCAACCCCTTCCATAGCGACCACTGACCCACTGTCAGAACGGTGTATAGCGGCG